TGCCTTTTCTGATCTTTCATGGCATCGCAGTGTTTGAATTGAAAAAACAGCAGTCTCCTCTTTGCTCCCTTTAATTTTTTCACCATGACCTCACTTTTCTTCCCGTTTTCTCCCCTATGAAATATTGTTCAACTATCAGGAAGAACTTGTAATGGTTCTCTTGCTTGCAGGAAATTTTCCTGTGCATACTGCAAGTGTGGCACCTGTCCAAAACAACTTAATGGTGTTTATGAGAAGGTCATGTAAGCATAAGCTAAAATCTTTGCATGCTACATCTATCAATGCTTTACTGCTTTTTCTGATCAGCAATCTCCAAGGGACCTTGGTTATGGACCACAGTCTCTACTCTGGCTGAAATTTCAGGAGGAAAGGAAGCAGCATACAGCAAATTGAGTTAATTTCTGAGAGAGAGAGTTGGTTATATATCTGCTATTGAGGTACTAATCTTACCAAACCTGTTGAAATAGTGGAGGCAGAAAGTGTAACTTATGCACAGGAGTCTGAGTACTTGTTTTAGCCTCTACGTCAATGAAGGGAGAAGCAGACACTAGTGAAATTGAAAGCAACCATTTTCAAGCTGATCGTGTGAAGCAGATTCAGGTGTTTTCAGTTTGAATGTAGTGCTCACTCTCACAGAGTGTCACTGAGGTTAAGAACGGGCAGGATACAAGAGGGAGACATTTATGTGGCTTATGATAAGGCCACAGTTGTTATAGTACGAATTAAAAATACACAGGCATCTTGGAAGGTCAACCAGCTTCAAAGTTAGAGTGAACTTGTACTTAATAAGGGTTGGGAAGAAATTTAGGCAGTGGTAAATTCTGTAACTGCTTTCTCCAAGGTTTCTTGCAGCTTTCTCCCAAGTGTCTGGCATTGCAGTTGCCTTAGATACTTGGCAAGATGGACTAAAGGTGTCACAGGACAGCTGTGTCTCTGTGCTTTCATCTAGCTTCAAATACCTGTTTGTGAGGTTTTTTTGAATGTCATATGATAAGATGACCACAGTGGAGAATGTTTCTTCTTCTACTTCACTAATGTAGGGCAAGAATAAATAGAATTTCAGCATAATTTTGCATGAAAATTCAAAATGATGAATCTGATTAGGCAGTTTAAGTACAGATTTGGCTAAAGAGGAGTTAAAATTGAAAACCATGTTGGACTGGTTTGTTAATATTTCTTCTGAGCTCTATGTTTTATGCTCTCTCCTCCCCACATTATCATTTATTTTACTTTTTTTATGTCACACTCTATTTCTAAGGCTCTGACATCTTTGGAACTGGTTCATAATTAAAGGAATGAATAACTCAGGTCACTGGCAATTTACAGTTTTCTCTGCTGTCTGTGGTGGAGTAACTAAACGTGGAAGATAAAAGGAATCAAAATAAGGTTTACGTAGTTCATCCAAGTAGTCCATAAAGAACAAGTATTACTTATTGACCTATATAGCCTACAAGAGACAGCGTGTTTGGAGTCTGAATCAGACTCTCACCATAGCCAGTTCTGTATTCAAACACAGGAACGATACAGGTGGCCAGACCAGGTGATAGAGACCAATGGACTTTTCCATTTTCATTTCTTTCTTCCCGCCATGCCAAGGACATCTCATGCCTCCCGGAGCTCTCCTCCAGTCTCACTTTGGCCCCACCTGGGAAGAAGCCACCTCCCATTAAAGAGTTGTCTGTTCTGTCAGTGGCAGGACAGACAGCAAGACTGTCAGCCCACAGGAGAAATACTGAAAAGAGGATGTTTGATGGCAAGACTTATCCTTAGGTCATGTTAGATTACAAAGGTGATCGTTGTAGCGCTGTTTGCTTCTTCCTTCTTTCC